TTTCAAAGTAAGGACCACACAGTTAAACAGGAAATAACACTTTTAAACCAGGAACAGACTTTTTTTTCAAATTCTTCTACATAGTATTGTTATTATTATTATTTCTTCTGCGTGTGTCTCTCCTTGAGGCTATAACAGCATGAATTGATGGAACATGGCAGACCCTGGCAATGAGACTTAACTTAGTCACAGGGAATGGACTCTGGGGGAAAGCAGGTTGTTCAGGAGCAGAAATGGAAATAACAATTTGAATATGTTTATATAGAAAACTAGCCGCCCCCTGCCATGCGTTGCTGTGGTGCTGTCTGGTGATCTGGAAAATAAAGTAATGAGAAAGTGATGGTTTCTAATATATGCTTTATATATTCTAATATATTCTAATTTTTATGCTTGTGGGTAAACAGTATTTCTTGCTGTTTCTTTGTCAGTGTTGATGTGGAAATTGTCCAGTTTGCCTACTCTGGAACATGCAACATATAATTGTCCTTCTTTGGGGGGTCCCTTTCAAATCTATAATACTATATGTGTGTGTGAATCATATCTATCTATCTCTGGCTGTATGGCTCTTTGTCAGGAGGGCTTTGATTATGTTTTCTTGCCCTGATGAAGGGAGTCGGACTGGATGGCCTTAAATGTTTTCTGTTGGTCATGGGGGTTCTGTATGGCAAGTTTTCCCCAATTCTGTTGTTGGTGGGGTTCAAAATGCTCTTTTATTGTAAGTGAACTATAAATCCCAGTAACTACAACACCCAAATGTCAAGGTCTATTTCCCCCAAACTCCATCTGTGTTCATTTGGGCATTTGAAGTATTCATACCAAGTTTGGTCTAGATCCTTCATTGATTGAGTCCACAGTGCTCTCTGGATTTGGTGAACTACAACTCCCAAGTTCAAGGTCAATGCCCACCAAACCCTTCTAGTGTTTTCTGTTGGTCACAGGAGTCCTATGTACTAAGTTTAGTTCAATTCCATCATTGGTGGAGTTCAGAATGGTCTTGGATTGTAGGTGAACTATAAATCCCAGCAACGCCAACTCCCTAATGACAGAATCAAGGGTTTTTTTTTAGTGATGGTCACTCCTTGGGTTAGTAGGTGTCTTGTGGCCAAATTTGGCGGCAATTCGTCCAGTGGTTTTTGAGTTATGCTAATCTCACAAACAAAGATTACATTTTTATTTATATAGATGGCCTGGAGAAAAGGATACTGGAGGGATGGCAGTCTTTGCAGTCGGGGACTTGTTCTGCATAAAGAAATCCCCTTCCTGCAAACCAAGCAGGCCTGTGGATGGGCAGCTCTGACTTGCGTGTCTGGCTCTTTTCTCCCTCAGGCAGTCCCTGTCTTCGCTGAGTGGGCCTTTGCAGGTGGTGCCCGACATAGATGACCAGGTGGCCAATCCGGAGAGTGCGCATGAGGTGAGTCCAGTCAGAGGACAGGGAGAAAGAAGAGCAAGTGGTGGGGGGGGGGGCACAGAGGAGGCCCTGTCTCTTGTGCTCTCACTAGATTGACAGATTGTCTTCCCTAGAAGACCCCAAAACATGAGCAGGTTCATAGGGCCAATAGGGCCCTTTCAATTAAAGGTAAAGATTTCCCCTGACATTAAGTCCAGTCATGTCCTCCTCTGGGGCTTGGTGCTCATCTCCATTTCTAAGCCGAAGAGCCGGCGTTGTCTGTAGACACCTCCACGGTCATGTGGCTGGCATGACTGCATGGAGCACCATTATCTTCCCGCTAGAGAGGTAACTATTGTTCTACTCACATTTGCATGTTTTCGAACTGCTAGGTCGGCAGAAGCTAGGACTGACAGTTGGGAGCTCTCACTCCGACTCGCGGCTTCGAACATAGATAAATCTATAAAATATAGTTAAAAGGCAACCATCACAGCCTAGATTCATCATCATCATCATCATCATCATGATGTGGGCCAAGTTTGGCCTGTATGTGGGCCTTCCGATGTCTACGACCCGAAAGCTTCGTATTGTTCAGAATGCGGCAGCCAGGTTACTCACAAGAACGCCCATGAAATGCCATATAACACCAGTGCTGCAACATTTACATTGGCTTCCAACTGAGTCCCGTGGCCTGTATAAGATGCTAGTTCTGACCTTTAAAACTCTTTACGGCCAGGGTCCATCGTACCTTAGGGACCGCCTCTCCTTCTCCCATCATCGGAGGCAACGACCAGCCCAACGTGACTTACTCCATATACCGGGTCCTAGAGAAGTGCACTTGGAAAGGACCAGGCGCAGATGGGCTTTTTCTATTTCTGCCCCTGCCTTGTGGAATTCCTTGCCGCCCTACATGAGAGCCATGCGTGACTTAGGGCCTTTTACTCGCACTTAAGACCTGGCTTTTTACTAGAGCATTCGATCTCTGTTGATTTTTAATTTTTGTATGTATGTATTTTATCTTTTGTAATTTAGCTGTAAATCGCCTAGAGCATTCTCGGATGGAGGGCAATTAATAAGTTATTAAATGATGATGATGATGGTGATGATCATAGTTATTATTATCATTATAAAAAGCAGACAGGTTAATTCCCTGATGAGATATAAAGGTTGAAGCAGGCATCCTCCAACATGAAAACTAACATTTTGAACATGCATATGTTCAAATTTATTTATTTATTATTTAGAGTTTTTATAACCCGGTCTTCTCGACCTCCGAGGAGGGACTCAGGCCGGCTAACAACATAAGATTCATTACAATAAGAAAAGCATTATAAATCATCAATATAAAATACATTAAAATACAATTCATACAAGTTACAGCAAAAATCAGTTCATCAGAATGAATCACAAATTCATCGCCATCCGCCAGAAAGGTCAGCAGTTATTGACTCCGTCATCATTCTGCAAATGCAGTATCCCAAAGCCATGTTTTTACCAGCTTTCTAAACATCAGGAGGGAAGAGGCAGATCTAATCTCCATCGGGAGGGAGTTCCAAAGCCGAGGGGTCACCACCGAAAAGGCCCTGTCCCTCGTCCCCACCAAACACGATTGCGAAGGCGGTGGGACCAAGAGCAGGGCCCCTCCAGAAAATCTTAACAACCTTGATGGTTCATAGGGGAGAATCCGTTCGGACAGGTAATAGGGCCAGAGCCGTTTAGGGATTTATAGGTCAACACCAGCACTTTGAATTGTAATTCTCTTTCTCTTCTCAAGGTAGATTTTATCCTTAAATGGAAAATATGCAGGGATTCTAACTCAGATCCAATACAGCATAACAATTCCTTGGGTTTTGCAATGTGACCACCTCTGCTTTCAATCATTGTAGCGCTCACCATAGTTAATACCTTCTTGTGGTTTTTTCTTATGTGAGCAGTAAAGAGAATATCTATTTTGCCATGTTTTCTATGGGTTTAATTTGTTAATTATGCTATTTTTTGTCTGCTTCTTCAGTATCATTTTTCTTTCTTGTATTTTGTGTTATTGTTATAAATCATGGAGGGCAATTAATAAGTTATTAAATGATGATGATGATGTAAGGCAGTAAGTAAATGTCTATAAATAAACGCTTAAATCCAAATAAATTAAAATAATAAAAAAGAAATTAAGATTAAAAAAGAAGAAGCATATATTAAAACATGTACATTCTAAAATGCCTGAGACAACAATTACAACACAATAAACATGGAATGCTATTTCAAAATTCATAACTAAAACTGACTCGATCATCCTGTTGGAAGAGATAGGTCTTCAAATGTGCTTCAAGTTCTGAGAGAGAAGTGTCGCTAAGGTTGATATCCAGGGGATTCTGGGAGTTGTTGTCCCAGAAGGAAACTCCATGAGAGAGGGAGGGAGGGAGGGAGGAGAATCGGGGTCCAACCCTGGCTCTTCTTGGTCTGTCTCTGAGGCTCCCCTTCTTTTTCCCCAGGCTAAAGTGGTGGAGGACTGCTCTCAGTACGAGTTTGAGAACTACATGCGGCAGCAGCTGCTCCTGGCAGAGGAAAAGAGCACTCTGCATGAGGCCAAGGGCTTCTTCCTCCAGAAGCAGCGGCAGTTTGGGAACGTGCCTCCGGTCCGGCGCTTGGGGCATGACGCGCAGCCCATGAACCCCCTGGATGCCGCCATCCTAGCCCAGCGCTACCTCCGGAAGTAGCTCTCAGTGGAAGACGACACCGGCAGCCCCCCATCCACCTGATTGCCTCCCGGGACCCCTGAGAATGTAGCCGGCCTTCCCTGCAGCCGAGACCCCTGCGGCCCGCGCACGAGGAGAGGCCGTTCTCTGAGGCTAGGAAGGAACAATGGCCGGTGTCGGACTCTTCACTCTCCCTTCAGACGGCCAGCCCACTCTTCTTCATCCTGACTCCGAAATCTACCTCTCTGTCGTTTTTTTTAACCACACTGTTCTCTGGACTGGGACACCCAGCACTTTGGGCGGAAATGTTTTTTGTCCCCAAGAAGCCGCCTCCAGATGACACCAAGGGTTGACCGGCAGGCGCACACACGCAAAGCCTGTGTTTGGCTCCCCTACGGTTTGAATAAGCTTCCCCTTCTCCCCACTTTAAACCTCTGGGTTTCGCAAAAGTCTGTTTCTCAAACCCATTCAATACACTTTTTCCTCCCCCCCCCCTAAAAAAAACCTTCCTCTGTTGGTTCCCATTTTAATTTAACGCCTAGTTTTGATATCGTTTGCACGAAGTCCTAGTGCAACCGAAGACTCGGACGAATGGAATCGTCTTCGCTATATTGAGCTTATTGCAGTGAGATGCGGGAAGAGTTTGAAATGTAGCTTTTTTTTTCCTCTTTGATTTTTGGAAGGGTTTTCTTTCTCTTCAATTCCAATCACTTCATTGTTTTGGATTTCTGTTTTGTTTGCAGTCGATCGTTCGCAAGAGATGTGGTAGCGCTGCGTACTTTGTGTCGATGTCTGTCTTGCTGTACAGCAGTTCGACTGAAAAGATAATTAATGTGAAGGGTATTTTGCCCTTGCCCTCTCCCTTCCGATCCTGAGCTTGCCCTTCTTTCCCAATGTAACCTCCCTGTTGCCACTGGTTCAGGTTCAGGGGGGCTTCTTGTGGGGCCTTTGGACACTCCTCCCTGCATTGTCTTGCCACGGTCCAGAAACAGCACTTCGGGCGAAGGATCCTTTCTGAGCCACGTTCCGCAAACTGGATGCCTCTCTTGCCAGACAAAGCCGACGCTCAAGCGGCCCTTTCTGGGGATCCTCTTCTCCCAGCCAATTCTCTTGCCCTCCATTACTCCCCAGCCATTGGACCAGGACAGGTTTAGGTTTCTCTTTCTCTTGGCCAAGAACATTGAGGTGAAGTCTCAAGACGGAGCTGTTGGATCCTGCCTTGAAAGGTATGCATTTGGGGCCTGGGTGACGTTCTTGCACAGGGTGCAGCTCCTCAAAACTTGGCTCCATCTGAGAAGTTTTTAATAGGAGACAATGGAAGGATTCTGGGATTTCAAACACCTGTATCTTTCTTGTGGCCAATGTACAAACCATTCTTAAAAGTGTCCATGGAACTTGCATCATCTTAACTTGGGAAACATCAGGCCGGGAAGAAAGTGGGATGGAAGATCTGCTGTGTCTCTTAGCCACTGTTTCTGGCCTTCCATGTGATCTCATGGCCTTCTCCATCAATGATCATCCACGGATGGTCCTTCTCAAGCCGCATCCTCGACTACTCGGCTTCCCAGGAAGAACCTGGACCAACGGATTGGAAAGACTCCTGGAAAGGCATGAGGTCGAGACAGTGGGGCGTTTGCTATGGGCCCTCCTTAAGCCATCTCCAAGGGGCTAGAAGTTGAAGGTCCCCTTCATCTTGCTTCCTCAGGGCCCATCTTTCGGGGCGACAGGGATAGAAAGAACCAATTGAGCAGAGAGGGAAACATTTCCATCATCCCAGAAGTTAATGGCTGCATTTGTCGTTGGCGAAGCCATGGGAGCGTCCCCTGAAAGCAACCCCGTGAATTGGACACATCTGCGGTCTGACCACAAAGCGATGCCTTCTGTTGGGCCCCAAAGTTTTGATCCATGTACAAGAACAGCAGAAAAACAGCTCTGTTCAATGACCTCCCTTCAAAGCAGAGGCTTCCAGGTGCCTTCTCTCGGACGCCAGGGTTTGGCTGCTTTTGTTCCATGGCTTTTCTTTCCATTTGAATGGAAGTGGGAGATGGCCAGCAGGAAGCTGAGCGGAGCTTCCTGCCTAAATATATCCCCAGGAAGAATGACATGTTTCCTCTGGTTTCCTCACCAAAGAGCCGTCTCCTTCAGGGCTCAAGCTTTTCTCCACTCCTTCAAGGAAACAAGAGGATCCTCCGTTACCTTTCTCCGGATTTTCACCCCTGCTTTCGAATCCAGATAGCAATACGCCACTGGCAAAGTGTGTGTTCCAGTCCCGTCTGTTGCGAAGAATTGGGAGGAGGCGGAAAGGAAATGGGGCGGTTCAAGGGGCAAGCGTCTTGGTTTTTGGGGAGACTGCAGGCCGAGACAAAGATCCTGTTGTAAAAAAAATTGCAAAGAGAATTTGTATAGAGACCTATTTTTGTATTACATCCAACTATTCCTGCATGTCAGCAATAAAAGTTTCGTAACGTAGGAACAGAGTCGGATGTCTCTCTCTGCAATTGGGGGGTTCCGGGTTCCGGGTTCTGGGGTTCGTTTGTCCTGTGTCAAAGGGATCTGTGTCTCATGTGTTTCCCTGTATTTAATAGGGAGGTTTCTAGTCCTCATGCCCAGGAATATGAACATTGGGGGCTTCCCAAGATCCTTTGGAGAATCCTCCTCCCCAAAAAGGAGTACAACGGATGTCTGCAAATGGCACCGTTGAGCACCAGGGGGCGCTGATGCTCCAATCCAATGCTCAGCCACACATTAGGGAAGGTACTTTGCTGAACTACAACTCCCGATACCTTGTGCCCTTTGAGAGCCTTATAGATCTCCCCTTCTGCTCTCTGCAGTGTTTGGGGCTTTCAGGACTTTCACCTTCATCAGTGGTTTATTTGTCCTTCAATTACATCTATATCTACACTTACATTTTTGTGATCCCAGGTTGCTTTTGAGTATGTTGCAAGCTGCTTGAATCCTGTCTCTGGGGAAAAGGTGGGATATAAATCAACAATGTCATAAGTTATAATCGCCCAGCCATCTACTTATCTCTCTGGTCTATCTAACATCTACTTAGCTGTGATCTGTCTACTATCCATCTATTGTGTATGTGTATCATCTATTCACCCAACATCTATCTATCTATCTATCTATCTATCTATCTATCTATCTATCTATCTATCTATCTATCTATCTATTTTCTGCCTAGTTTATCTATAGCACTACGTAACATGATTTTTGTTCCTGGGTTATAAATGTCATTTCCTAATAAGTTCTTTCATAAAAATATGACAGAAGTTTAGTAAACTGCAAAAACTTTTGTCTCTGTGGAAGGGACACCCTCAGCACATTTTGCCCCAGTTTTTCAATTAATACCGACTCTCAACCAGTTCAGCATAGTTTGTGACAGCCACAAAACCCATGTTTCTGGAGCATGACAACTACTTTCAAAGTAAGGACCACACAATTAAACAGGAAAGAACACTTTCAAACCAGATACAGATTTTTTTTCCCCTATATAGGAGCCCCCAATGGCGCAATGGGTTGTACCCTTGTGCTGGCAGGACTGTTGACCGAGCGGGCTGAGCTTCTTCTGTCAGCTCCAGCTCCCCATGCGGGGACATGAGAGAAGCCTCCCACAAGGATGGTAAAACATCAAACATTTGGGCGTCCCCTGGTCAGCATCCTTGCAGACGGCCAGTTCTCTCACACCAGAAGCAACTTGTCGTTTCTCAAGTCATTCCTGACACAAAAAATTATATATAATATAGATACTTATGTTGTGTATCTATATTGTCTATCAGTCTCATAATCTAGTTACCCCTATATCATGCTTTTTATCATCTATCATTTATCTGTATCTACTATCATATAGATATATTGTTTGTTTTTCTTTCTAAAATTTATTTGCTATCTATCTCCCTCCCTCCCCCTCTCTCTAGATATATATCACTAGCTATACCCGCCACGAGTTACTGTAACCAGTCTTTCCTTCCTCTTTCTCTCCTTTCTTTCTCTCCTTCCTTCCTTCCTTCCTTCTCTTTTCTTTCCCTTCTTCTTTCTCCCCTTTCTTCCTTCTCTACCTATTCTTGGACTGCAACTCCCATCTATCTATCTATCTATCTTATCTATCTGGAGGATTGCTGGGAGTTGCAGTCCAGGAATAGGAAATTGGAAATCTGCAGGGATTGGGATGCTCTCAAAGAAATCCAAGGAGAAAAAAGCTTGAATCTTGGAAGCAGTGCATTTGGATCATCCTCCTCTCCTAAAGGACCTGGTCTAGGGGATGCTGGGAGCTGTATTCCAAAAGATAGTGTGTATATGCTATTGTGTATTTTGTTCGCTGGGGGAGTTGTTTTTGCACCTGCGCTGTAGCGTCTTTTTGCCTTGTTGGTCTTTTAAGTCCCTTCTGTTGTGTTTTTGTGAGTGATGGTCACTCCTTGGCCTGATAGATGTGTTGTGTCCAGATTTCATGTCAATTCATCCAATGGTTTTTGAGTTATGTTAATCCCACAAACAAACATTACATTTGTATTTATATAGATTTGTATCTACCTTCCCATACAGCAAAGAGGGCCATGAAAACAGACATGATGAGCACCCATTTTTGTGGACAAAGAGCCCATCGTCCCTTCTCTCTCTACCTCTGAAGGCCATTGCCAGGATCCTTGCAGCCCTTTTGGTAAACAAAGACCTGGGCCAGACAGCACGAAGACATGGAGTATTGCACTATATTACACAATTTTTGTTCCTGGGGAAAAAAAATCAAGAGAAGAAACTCCCATCAACATCATCAAACATGATGATGGTGGGAGTTCCTTCTCTGATTTTTCCACAGGAACAAATATGATGATGGTGATGATGACTTAATCATCAGTTAGAAAAGACTACAAGGGCCATCCACGCCAACCCTATTCTGCCATGCAGCAAAACCCAATCCAAGCTCTCCCAACAGATGGTCATACAGCCTCTGCTTTAAAACTTCTGGAGTAGGAATTCCATCATCGTAATCAAAGATGATGATGGTGATGATGACTGAATCCTAGAGTTGGAAGAGATTGTAAGTGCCATTCAGGCCAACCCCATTCTGCTATTTAGGAAAACCCAATCAAAGCTCTCCCGACAGATGGCCATCCAGCCTCTGCTTTAAAACCTCTGGAGAACGAATTCCATCATTATCATAAAGTTTGTGATGGTGATGATGACTGAATCCTAGAGTTGGAAGAGATTGTAAGGGCCATTCAGGCCAACCCCATTCTGCTATTTAGGAAAACCCATTCAAAGCTTTCCCGGCAGATGGCCATCCAGCCTCTGCTTTAAAACCTCTGGAGAACGAATTCCATCATTATCATAATCAAAGATTGTGATGGTGATGATAACTGAATCCTAGAGTTGGAAGAGATATATTACTTTACAGGAACTTGGTTTATTTTCTACTAGCTGCCCCCTGCCATGCGTTGCTGTGGCCCAGTCTGATGATCTGGAAAATAAAGTAATGAGAAAGTGTTGGTTTCTAATATATGCAATACCTTTATGCTTGTGGGAAAACATTATTTCTTGTTGTTTTTTGTCAGTGTTGATGTGGAGATTGTCTGGTTTGTCTACTCTGGAACATGCAACATATAATTGTCCTTTTTTAGGGGTCCCTTTCAAATCTATGATACTATATCTCTGTGTATGTGAATCATATCTATCTATTTCTATGCCTGGATGGCACTTTGTCAGGAGGGCTTTGATTACGTTTTCTTGCCCTGGTGAAGGGACTTGGATTGGATGGCCTTAAGTATGGGGGTTCTGTGTAGGAAGTTTGCCCCAATTCTGTCGTCGGGAGAGTTCAGCATGCTCTTTTATTGTAGGTGAACTATAAATCCCAGTAACTATGACTCCCAAATGTCATGGTCTATTTCCACCCAAACTCAATCTGTGTTCATATTTGGTCATATGGAATATTCGTGCCAAGTTTGGTCCAGATCCATCATTGTTTGAGTCCAAAGTGCTCTCTGGATGTAGGTGAACTACAACTCCAAAACTCAAGGTTAATGCCCACCAAACCCTTCTGTTGGTCATGGGAGTCCTGTGTGCCACATTTGGTTCAATTCCATCATTGATGGAGTTCAGAATGCTCTTTGATTGTAAGTAAACTATAAATCCCAGCAACAACAACTCCCAGCAACTACAATCCAGGAGCCCCCGGTGGCGCAGTGGGTTAAAGCACTGAGCTGCTGAGCTTGTTGATCGAAAGGTCACAGGTTCGATTCCGGGGAGAGGCGTGAGCTTCCGCTGTCAGCCCTAGCTTCTGCCAACCTAGCAGTTCGAAAACATGCAAATGTGAGTAGATCAATAGGTACCGCTCCGGCGGGAAGGTAACGGCGCTCCATGCAGTCATGCCGGCCACATGACCTTGGAGGTGTCTATGGACAACGCTGGCTCTTCGGCTTAGAAATGGAGATGAGCACCACACCCGAGTCAGACATGACTGGACTTAATGTCAGGGGACTACCTTTACCTACAACTCCCAAATGACAAATCAATTTTTTGAGTGATGGTCACTCCTTGGGTTTGTAGGTGTCTTGTGGCCAAATTTCATGTCGATTCATGATCTGGTCTTTGAGTTATGTTGATCTCACAAACAGACATTACATTTTAATTATATATAGATGATAACGATAGCAAAATTCGAAAAAAAGTTCTTTTTCCTTTTTGAAAGTGTTAGGCTAGGCTAGTTCGTTTCAAATGCAACAACACACCAATCATTTTGGTTAAAAGCTAAGCTACACCTTGATACTTATGCTATCTGGTGCATGTGAGTAGAGTATGTTGTTGTTGTTCATTCGTTCAGTCATCTCCCGACTCTTCGTGACCTCATGGACCAGCCCACGCCAGAGCTCCCTGTCGGCCGTCACCACCCCCAGCTCCTTCAAGGTCAGTCCAGTCACTTCAAGGATGCCATCCATCCATCTTGCCCTTGGTCGGCCCCTCTTCCTTTTGCCTTCCACTTTCCCCAGGATTATTGTCTTCTCTAGGCTTTGCTGTCTCCTCATGATGTGGCCAAAGTACTTCAGCTTTGTCTCTAGTATCCTTCCCTCGAATGAGCAGTTGGGCTTTATTTCCTGGAGGATGGACTGGTTGGATCTTCTCGCAGTCCAAGGCACTCTCAGAACTTTCCTCCAGCACCACAGCTCAAAAGCATCGATCTTCCTTCGCTCAGCCTTCCCTAAGGTCCAGCTCTCACATCCGTAGGTTACTACAGGGAATACCATGGCTTTGACTAGGCGGATCTTTGTTGCCAGTCTGATGTCTCTACTCTTTACTATTTTATCGAGATTGGACATTGCTCTCCTCCCAAGAAGTAAGCGTCTTCTGATTTCCTGGCCACAGTCTGCATCTGCAGTAATCTTTGCGCCTAGAAATACAAAGTCTCACGGCCTCCACATTTTCTCCCTCTATTTTCCAGTTGTCAATCATTCTTGTTGGCATAATCTTGGTTTTTT